CTAGAATCTATGAGCGGACGAATGCAAACTCGACCACCCAGTGGGCAAAAATAGAAGCTTCATTTTTCAAGATCCCCATCCTCACAGTCCCCTGGAATAGGTCTAGTAAAATGCTTCTAAAACACAAACAGCACCCGACCATCAATGCAACTCTAAGAGTCTGGGCTTCAATCAGACAATCCGGACTTATATCCCCCTATCCCTCTCCCGCTTACCTGCTTACACATAGCCCCCTCTGCCAAGAGAGGAATCCAGGTAAAGTGTACCAATTGTACCATGACAAACCCTACCTTATGCTCTGAGATGTGGTACAAGGGGATACGTGGAAACTTCTGACCAAGCTCCTACCAACACAACATCCCACAGGTACACAGCACCTCCAATATACCCAATTGGCACACTTCATCCAAGGCACTAAACTCATACCGGATGGTATTAGAGACCTAACGACATTTGAGCAACTTTGTCTATCGCATCCTTTGAAACGGAAACTTCTCTCCAACATATACACACTCTTACAAAAAGCACAAACACAAGATCTCCCCAGCTTTCCAGTGAAGTGGTCACAAGAATTGCAAATAGACATTACACAAAGTCAGTGGCAGAAGATCTTCCTTAGGGCACACAAAACAACTACAAATCTTGCCACACAAGAAAGCAACTATAAATGCCTCACCCGCTGGCACTATACTCCAGCGAAAATTAATAAGTTGCACAACACTGCTATTGGTGCTTGTTGGAGATGCCAATTGCCAAATGCGCACTTGGCACATATTTGGTGGCAATGTCCCACAACAGCTAAATTCTGGAAACACATACACACAATCATATAAACAATCACAGCAAGCACTATCCCATTCTCACCAAAATACATGCTATTTCTTTCACCTCCTCCTCAACAAAAGAGACAGGAGTGCGTCCTGATCACCCATCTGCTTACGGCGGCAAATCAACTCATCCAGGTCAATTGGAAACAGGCACATCCCCCTCGGTTAGGGACTGGATACAGAAAGTGGAAACTGTAAAACAACTGGAAGAGATTACCTATGCCATTTCCAAAAACTACACGAAATTCACATGTATTTGGGGACCATGGAAAGCCTTCATACTGGTGGAAGCCAGTACCCAAGGAATCTAAACTAATTAGTTATTACCTATTACCACACCTTAAATGGTTTACAAGATGTACCCAGCTGTTTTTTTTTGTTGTTCTTTAGTGGGTCCACACAGGGGGTGTGAAAGGTGACAGATTTCATGGATGCTGTTAACAAGCAAAAGAGTCAGTGTAGGCAAAAAAAGATGGGGATATTGGACTACATAGAAATTAGAGAAAATATCTGTGCTTCTTATGTCAACTCAACCTATACTGACTCGTTGTACAACCCGCACTCCTGTGGCACCCTACACTACATTTGTACTCTACAAGGTTTCACTATAGAACATACAAGGTATGCACTCTCAGAAATCTCTGAAATGTTTCAAATTATCTTAAATGTTATTCTTTTATAACTGTTATCCTATCTATTTTATCTATCCTATAATGCAAGACACATGTAACTGTTCGTATATGTGTTTAACTACAATACCAAATTTCTATTGCAAAGTATTATTCAATTCCGCAATGTCACACTATATGTACAAGCAAAGGAAACTCAAAAATAAAATAAAAATGAAATATAAACATCGGAAATATGAAAAATTGCTTTAATCACTTAAAATTGGATATTAAACATAACATAGTGTAAAACCCTCAACACCAATACAATTAAAACAAACATATTGTACTCACAAATGTAGAACCACTTCAAGTGGTCAGAAGGGCATGTAGATAGGTCTTAGAAGACCTGCAATCAACAGCAGATAAATATGTCCTGACAATAGAGTCAATCATTTGTCCACCCACTTGTGCAGGGTCCAGATCCCTGGGGAACAGACTTGCTTCTTGTTCGATAGTAGAAGCCAGGCTGGAGAAAAAGGCTTGGGAAATGACTTAGTGTTGACCCAAACAGATTTCCTCAAGACAGAGCGTATGTCCATTCATCATCACCAGCTTCTACGATGTCTATGTTGCCTTATCGTCCCCAGGTGGACGAAACGCATAGGATTTTAATTACATACGTTGTATGTCTATGTAATTAACACTTTGGTGTGCGTTGGACATAATTGATTTACTTTACTATTTTTCTTTTGCTTGACTTTGACAAGGGACATATAGTGATATCTAGATAACTGGGTCAGAGCATTTCCAAAACGGCAAGTCTTGTGGTGTGTTCCTTGTATGCAGTGGTTGATACCTACCAAAATTGGTACAAGAATGGACAACTGGTGATCAGGGCTGGCCCAATGCATTATGCTGCCTGGGTCAAAGGATGAAATGCTGCCCCCCACCCCCCCAACAAAAACACACTAATCAAAACACACCAACATCCATTATGTTATGAAGTGTGTGTTGTGAATGCAGTGTCTGTGTAGTAGATGCAGAGTGTGTATTTGTGTAGTGGATGCAGTGTGTACAGTGGCTGCAGTGGCTGTGTATTGCATGCAGTGTGTGTGGTGAATGCATTGTGTGTCTGTATAGTGGATGCAGCGTGTGTGTATTTTGTAATGGATGCAGTGTCTGTGTGTGTATAGTGAATGCTGTGTGTGTGCATAGTGGGTGCAGTGTACGTGTGTGTTGTGGATGCAATGTGTATGTGTGTGTGTGTAGTGGATGCAGTGTGTGTATATAGTGGATGCAGTGTGTGTGTATAGTGGATATAGTGTGTGTGTGTTTATACTAGATGCAGTGTGTGTGTGTATAGTGAATGCAGTGTGTGCATGTGTATATAGTGGATGCAGTGTCCGTGTTAGTGTAATGCAGGGAGTGTGTGTTTGTGGTGTTGTAGTGTGTTTATTAGTGATACATTAAATGTGGGGGTGAGCAGTTTTTTATTTAATGTTTAACTTATCCACTCCCCCTCCTACCCCTGCCTTTTACCTGCTTGGAACTGCACTTATATATATATAGTGGTACTGCGACCCGGGCCCTGCAATAAACATTTTTTAAAGGTACAGGGGCAGCAAAATGCTCCCCCTATAACAGTGCCTCCTGAGCCTTGACCCCACTGGGGCCAATGGACAGGCCAGCCCTACTGGTGATCCTGCATCAGGGTCATGGGTGCACAAAGCTGGTGCGTGTGGGGAGCAAAGGCTAGCACATTTGGTCTTGTAACACATAAGAACTAATGTAGCTCAAAATGTTGAAAAACTTAATGTTGGCCATGATAGAAAGATGTCAGAGCACACAATGCATTGCAGTTTACTGTGCATGGGACTGCATAGCCGCAGACTGGTCAGAGGTCCCACGATGACCACTGTGCACCACTGAAAGGTTCTTCAATGGATACATGAGCATCAGAACTGGACCTTGGAGCAATGGAAGAAGGTTGCCTAGTCTGATGAATCACATTTTCATTCAGTTCAGGTAGATGGGTGGGTGCATATGCACGATGACCACTGTGCACCACTGAAAGGTTCTTCAATGGATACATGAGCATCCGAACTGGAGCTTGGAGCAATGGAAGAAGGTTGCCTTGTCTGATGAATCACATTTTCATTCAGTTCAGGTAGATGGGTGGGTGCATATGCATCATTTACCTCGGGAAGAGATGGCAGCTGGAAGTAATAGGGGAAGAAGTCAAGCTCTGGGCAATGTTCTGCTGGGAAACCTTGGATCCTGGCCATTATGGGGATGTTGCTTTGACATGTACTACCTACTTAGAGATTGTTGCAAACCATGTACACCCCTTCGTGGCACTGGTGTTCTCTGATTGCAGTGGCCTCTTTCAGCAGGATAATGCACCCAACCACACTGAAACAATGTTCAGGAATGGTTGGAGGAACATGACAAAAACTTCAAGGTGTTTCCATGGCCTCCGAATTCCTCAGATAACAGTCCGATTGAGCATCTGTGGCATGTGCTGGAAAACCACTTCCAATCCGTGGAGACCCCAGTTTGCAACTTGCAGAACTTAAAGTTTCTGTCCCTAATTTCTTGGTGCAAGTTACCACAGGATGCATCCATAGGTCTTGTGGAGTCCATGCCTCAATGCTTTAGAACTGTATTGACAGCATGAGGGGGATCTACACAAATTAGGCATGTGGTTTTTAATGTTGTTGCTGATTAGTGTATAGCCTGTGATGTTGTTTAGTCTCTTATGCTTTAGAAGGGTGTATTTGAGTGTGCAATTGATTTTCTTGATTCATGCATATAGTACAGTAAATAAGTCACAGTAACTCTATCACGTTTTATACCTGACAACTCTCCTGAATTCTGCAAATTAGTTCCAATTTTGCTTTGCTGCCTGCTATTCCAGGGTTGTTCTTTGGTGAAATGGATCTGGGTACTACAGACCAGAGACAAGTCCCCTGCTATGCAAAATCAGATCATGTAATTAGAATGGAGAGGTCTGCCAAGTAGAGCATCATGCATGCAAACTGACACTACCTTTATATATCATTAAACATAGGCTATATGATCCTGTTTTCATATATACAGTATCTCACAAAAGTGAGTACACCCCTCACATTTTTGTAAATATTTTATTATATCTTTTCATGTGACAACACTGAAGAAATGACACTCTGCAACAATGTAAAGTAGTGAGTGTAGAGCCTGTATAACAGTGTAAATTTGCTGCCCCCTCAAAATAACTAAACGCACAGCCATTAATATCTAAAACATTGGCAACAAAAGTGAGTACACCATGGAAATGTCAATATTGGGCCCAATTAACCATTTTCTCTCCCTGGTGTCATGTAACTTGTTAGTGTTACAAGGTCTCAGGCGTAAATGGGGAGCAGGTGTGTTAAATTTGGTGTTATAGTTCTCACACACTCTCATACTTTTCACTGGAAGTTCAACATGTATGGCACCTTGTGGCAAAGAACTCTCTGAGGATCTGAAAAAAAAGAATTATTGCACTACATAAAGATGGTCTAGACCAGGCATAGGCAACCGTCAGCACTCCAGATGTTTTGGACTACACCTCCCTTGATGCTTTGTCAGCATTAGGGGCATTAAAGCATTATAGGAGATGTAGTCCAAAACATCTGGAGTGCCGGAGGTTGGCTACCCCTGGTCTAGACTATAAGAAGACCGTGAAACTGAGCTGCAGCACAATGGGCAAGACCATACAGCAGTTTCACAGGACAGATTCCACTCAGAACAGGCCTGGCCATGGTTGACCAAAGAAGTTGAGTGCACATGCTCAGCGTCATATCCAGAAGTTGTCTTTGGGAAATAGATGTATGAGTGTTGCCAGCATTGCTGCAGAAGTTGAAGGGGTAGGCGGTCAGCCTGTCAGTGCTCAGACCATACGCCGCACACTGCATTAAATTGGTCTGCAAGGCTGTTGTCCCAGAAGTAATCCTCTTCTAAAGATAATGCACAAGAAAGCTCACAAACAGTTTGCTGAAGACAAGCAGACTAAGGACAAGGGCATGGATTACTGGAACCACGTCCTGTGGTCCGATGAGATCAAGATAAACGTATTTGGTTCAGATGGTGTCAAGCGTGTGTGGCGGCAACCAGGTGAGGAGTACAAAGACAAACGTGTCTTGCCTACAGTCAAGCATGGTGGTGGGAGTGTCATGGTCTGGGCCTGCATGAGTGCTGCCAGCAATGAGGAGCTACAGTTCATTGAGGAAACCATGAATGCCAACATGTACTGTGACATGCTGAAGCAGAGCATGCTCCCCTCCCTTCGGAGACTGGGCACAGGGCAGTATTCCAACATAACCCCGAAACACACCTAAAGTAGCTGAAGGTAAAGGTGATGGACTGGCCAAGCATGCCTCCAGACCTAAACCCTACTGAGCATCTGTAGGGCATCCTCAAATGGAAGGTGGGAGAACGCAAGGTCTCCAACATCCACCAGCATCGTGATGTCGCCTTGGAGGAGTGCAAGAGGACTCCAGTGGCAACCTGTGAAGCTCTGGTGAACTCCATGCCCATGATGGTTAAGGCAGTGCTGGATAATAATGGTTGCCACACAAAATATTGACACTTTGGACATTTCCATTTAGGGGTGCACCTCACTTTTGTTGCCAACGGTTTAGACATTAATGGCTGTGAGTTATTTTGAGGGAACAGCAAATTTACACTGTTATAAAGGCTGTACACTTACTACAGAGTATCATTTCTTCAGTGTTGTCACATTAAAAGATATAATAAAATATTTACAAAAATTTGAGGGGTGAGATACTGTATATAATATATTTATACTTCTCTTGCAGGATGAATATAATATATCCTCCCACTATGTTTACAAAAATACATTTAACCCCATAAGGACACAGCTTCAGAAGCTTGTCTTACGCTTAATGACGCAAGCAATTTTTGCATTTTCTTGCTGTATGCGTTCAACTGCAATTTGCATCTCTCTCGTTTATTGCACCGACATATATTATATACTGTTTTTTAAAGGACAGAAAGGGCTTTAATTTGATGTAATTTTATATATATATATATATATATATATATACACACACACATACAGATACACACACACACACACTTATTTATTATTAAAAAAAATACAGAAAAATGCACACAAAAAAATGTATGCATGGATGTCTATATGTATGTATGCCAGTATCAATGTATGTCTGTATGTCATTATGTATGTCAGTATGTCAGTATGTCTGCATGTAATTATGAACGTATGTCTGTGTGTATGGATGTCAGTATGCATGCATGTCAGTATGTATGAATGTATGTATGTATGTCTGCATGTATGTCAGTATGAATGTATGTATGTATTGTAACAAACCACATCTTTTACAGGTAGGATTGTCACAGATCTTGCAGTAACCACAGCCTTCTAGGGTATACAAAGTCCAGGACACATTCAGCTCGGTTTTCCTTTTTATTCAATAAGAAAACAGGTGCTTTAAATAATAACAAAACAAACAAAATCCCTTGCTCTTACTTGAGCTCTTACTAGACAGAAATTGCTATCTGCAATTGGGTGTCTTTCCCACTTACCAATTTTCCAAACAAAAGAAATGTCTTTGCAATAAACACAATTGTCATTCACTCTCCTAGCTGTCTTTTCCTCCCTCACTCTGCAGCAGGCTGGCCTCTTCTTTTAAAGGCCTGTCTACTAATTGACTAGCTACAGGTGAGTGCCAATTAGTTAACTCTTAAGTCAGATCTAAATTGTGGTCTGTTACACAGCAACTAGTGCTGTTGGAGCATTGGCCCACCCTGCTCTCCAAATACTCCGCCCCAGGGACCCATACCATGTTTTGCAGAACCTCAGCAATGTAGATTGCAAACTAACATCTCTCCCTGGGGCATTTAATTGAAAATCCTCAGGCTGCTGTTTAGCAAATCAGGCCTGATGTATCTTCCATCAACCACAATTCCACTTTTACGCTCACAGTATGTCTCTATGCCATTATAAATGTATGTCTGTGTATGTATGTATGTGTGTATGGATGTCAGTGTCTGTATGTATGTATATATGTATGTATGTATGCCAGTATGAATGTATGTATGTCTGTATGTCATTATGAATGTATGTCTTTGTGTATTTATGTATGTGTGTATGTATGTCGGTGTCTGTATGTATGTCAGTGTGTATGTATGTATGTGTCTGTATGTCCTCATGCATGTGTTTCTGTATGTATGTTAGTATGTGTCTGTCTGTCTGTCACTATGTATGCCTGTGTGTCTGTACATGTGTGTATGTCTCAGTATGTATGCCTATATGCGTGTATGTCTGTTTCAGTATGTGTGTCTGTTAGTATGTATCTGTGTGTGTGTATCTGTGTCCTTTTGTATCAGTGTGTGTGTTTGTGTCTGTGTGTGTATTCCTGTGGGCGGGATTTGGAGGTGGACCCTGTGGGTGGGAATGGAGGTGGCCCCAGGGGGCCCAGACCCTGAGCTGAGTTAGGGGCCCCAAAATTTCTGGTGGCAGCCCTGTATATATATATATATATATATATATATATTTTGCAGGCTCATCATCAGTAGAACCAGTCACACAGAGATCTGTGGGTTTTCCATATAAAATCTGCCAGTCCTCTGCCTGGGATAAGATTCATAAACAAAACAAAAAAAAAGCAAACACAAAAATTCACTACTTATCTTTCTTGAGACAAAATATGATCTTAACTAAGAAAAAAGAAGGTCACATGATAGTCTAGTATATGACAATACACTGAGTAGCCATAACACTAAATAACATAATACTATAATAGGCCCCTTTCGTGTTGTCAACACAGCATGATGAGCAAGAACTTTGAATGTGTCCTGTGTAGAGTTGAGCGAACTCGAACTGAAAAGTTTGGGTTCGTACCGAACATTAGGTTTTTTGGACCCCGGACCAGAACACGGTCATATCACTATATGTTAGGGTTGGAGTTCGGAGTTCAGTGATTTAATGACACATTTTGAAAGGCCGCAGGGCAGCCAATCAACAAGCGTTTGACTTGTGCGCCCTTAGAAGCCATCACAGTCATGCCTACTAATGGCATGGCTGTGATTGGCTAGTGCAGCATGTGACCCAGCCTTGTAGGGGCATGTCTGTTGGCTGCTCACTGTTACAAAAAAATAATTCCCCCCTCCTGTGCCACCACCTGCGGTGACCAGGTGACCAATTTAGGTCTTTCAGCCTTTTGGTAGATAGCTCCCTAATTCCGTGTGAATTAGGGAGTTATCTACTAAGCAGCTGCTTATTTTATATTATTTTTAAGTGATTTCCTTATCCACATTTGTTTGCAGGGCACTTGTCCTACTCTTACCCCCATTTTACTTCCTTTTGCAGCCCTCTAGCCCTTTCCAGGAGTTTTTAAGAACCATTTTTGTGCCCATAAGTTTGGGTCCCCATTGACTTCAATGGGGTTTGGGTCCACTCAACGCTAGTCCTGTGGTATCTGGCACCAAGATTTTAGCAGAAGATCCTTTAAGTCCTGCAAGTTGTGAAGGTGGCCTACATGGATAGGATTTGCTGTTCAATCACATCCCACAGAGGCTCAATTGGATTGAGATCTGGTGAATTTGGAGGCCAAGAAAACACTTTAAATGCTTTGTCATGTTCCTCAAACCATTCCTGAATGATTTTTGCAGTGTGGTAGGGTACTTTATCCTGCTGAAAGAGGCTACTGCCATCAGGAACGCTATTGCCATGAAGGGGCATATATGGTCTGCAACAATCTTTAGGTAGGTGGTATGAGTCAAAGTTACAGCCACATTAATGCCAGGACCCAAGGTTTCCAAGCATAACATTGCACAGAGCAGAACATTGACTCCTTCTTCTTCAAGTGTTATGTTTTTCAGTAGCTTGAGCTACAATAGCCCTTATGTGTTATCGGACCAGACAGGCTAGCCTTTTCTCTCCACATGCATCAGTGAGCCTTGGACACCTGTGATACTGATTCACTGGTTATCCTTCCTTACACCACTTTTGTAGGTACTAACCACTTCATACCGGAAAAACTCTGACCTAGTAGTTTAGCCATGGTAAAAGTCACTCAGATATCAATTGCCCATTTTTTCCTGCTTCTAGAATTTGAAATTCAAGAACTGACTGTTCACTTGACACCAAATATATACCACCCCTTGACAGGTGCATTTGTAACAATATAATCGCTTTATATTTTAGTGGTTTTAATGTTTTGGTTTATCTGTGTATTTCTCACTTGCTGTGAGCCATTCTATTGACAGTATATAGAATATGGCCTGATAGAAACATGACCACCTACTCTAAAGGTGGTATGCAGTAACAAAGTTATGTCATCAGGGATAATATTTGGAGAGTAGCATATTGCTGTAGTGGACAATGAGTCCAATAATCTCTGTACATCTAAATAAGGCTGTGGATTATGTATAATTAATTCAAAGATAAAGTGCACAGTGGCAGTACCAAAAAAAAAAAAAAAACCAGTAGTTAAAGTTTCAGTCCACACTAGTGTACTATCTTCAGGACCTATAGTTTGGATTGAAACGTTGACCACTTCTTGTTTGACACATGTAAATACTGGTAGATATTTGAACTTTAATAATGAAGTGCAGCTAAAACAGACATCTTGTTCATTTTTGATATTTGAATACTAT